GCAGAGCAAACTCCTGTTGTGACAGTGCCGTTAGCTGCAGGAGTTTGCTCTGCAACCAGAGGGTTATTGGTTCAAGCCTCGGCTCCGGCTTTCAGCATCATTGTATCCTTGGAAGAGACATTTCACCTGCATTGTCTACTGATGGTGGTCAGAGGGCCTGGTGGCGCCTGTGTACAGCAGCCGTGCTTCTGTCAGTGACCCCAGGGCAGCTGTGGCTATAATGTAGTTTGTCACCATCAGTGTGTGAGTGTGAATAACTGAATGTACTGTAAAGTGCTTTGGTTGAACCTCTTGACTTGAAAAAGTGCTATAAGAGTACAGGCCATTCACTACTATTATATTTCAGATTTAAAGATTCACCAAAATTAGAGACTGAAGGCTCTCGTTAAAGAGTCAGATCTCCTACAGAAAACACAGAAGATGGATAAAACTAAAGGTATTTGTCCTTCAGAAGCTTATTAGCCTTAAAGTTCAAAAGCTTTTTTGCTACATATCAAAGTTTCCATACAGTTACTATAAGTCAAAGACTTTCCTCTTCTACACTCTACTGAAAAAAAGGAGGGAATCACCATAGCAACCAGTCACTTAGCATGTTTTAAAGCTCTGTTTCTTAAATTATTCATTAGTGACAAAGGAGAAATCTGTGTAGTTGTCTTTTTTTCAGGAGGTGATGATGCCGACCTGGTAGAAATCCCGTGTAACGGTGATCTGCAGGGTGAAGTTTTGTCCAGAGTGAAACGGCGTGCTTTGCTTCCTCTCCTCTGAGCCCCAGTTACCGTACTGGAAGGTGTTGGTGACCACGTAAGGGTGGCCGTCATTATAACGTGGGTTGAAATGGAGGGCGATGTTTGCCCCCTGACTGGAACCGCACTGCAAGTTCACATGGAACCTGAGGAGTAAAAAAAAAAACAGTGAATTTCAAGAAATGTTAGACTGAGGAGGGAGATTTAATATATTTATTTATATATGGGCATAAAAACAGACTATTTACAGAAACGAAAAAAGCTGTTCAGAAATTGGTTTGTTAAAGAGGTTTCTAAAGTCTAATATCTGCTGGGAGGAAGGATCTGTGATTACGGTAATAAGGGCACTTAGGGTGAAGCCTAAGGCTGAAATAACTAATCGGATTAATCGTGATTAATCATCATTGGTGGGCCGTTATCGGTGTTAACGCTCTGTGTTAATGCCAGACTCTTATCTGGTGATAAAAAAATATCGCCGTTAATCTATTCACAGTAGGGTTGGGAGCTGGGTCTTACCAATGATGACTTTCACCTTGATACTTAGCGTGGATGTATAAATGGCGCGGATGCAGGGGCGGATCTAGGATTCTAGGAGATCAGGGGCTTAGCCCTGAGGGTGCAGATGTTGACTCCTTTTCTTCCATCTTTTTTTTTTTGCCGCCTCGAACACAAAACCAAAATTTGTGTGTACTTCAATTTACGCAAGTAGAGAGGCGCTGAGAACCGTCTCATCCAACCCAATCAACTTTATTTATATAGCACATTTAAAACAGAAACATGTTGACCAAGTGTTGCACATATAAAATACATAATAAAATAAAAAAAATCATAAAATAATATAAGAGAACAATTAAAAAAATATAATAAATACAATGAAATGAAATGGGGAAAATCAGCTAAAACATTAAACAGCACACAGTTCCTTAACTGTGCTTATTCCTCTCTTCACCAACAACAAATCATGTGGATTTGTTGACATGTGTGCATTATTTGCCAAAATTAAAGGAGGGGAACCATATATTTTAGCTGACTGAAATAATCTGTTCCCCCTTTTATGATCTTTATCAAATGTATTTTCTGTTTAAATATTTATCTAAAAAT